CCTCCACCTAATAGCGTCCTTGTTCCCAGTATCTGCTTGCAAACCTTTACTTTAAGATTCACTCAGTAATGGTGCCAATCTCGATCAGAACTTTGCCGGTGGCACGGCCCTTCTCCAAGTACTCATGGGCCTTGGCAACTTCGTTAAGACTGAAGGACCGATCCTTAGCTGCATTGTGAAGAACACTTTTGAGGATTCTTCGCGCATGCATGCATGCATCCTTCTGCATGTCCAAGAACCTCAATTTGCAGAATAACATGTGCTTTACTAGCATACCTTGTGGCTACACCTTCCAAACATTTTGCAAGCAGGTTCAATGCATTTGTCCACGACATTTGAGCACACCCCCAAAGGCATTCTAGTTTTTGACTGTCGGCTCGAAGGCTGACAAATGGCTGGGACATACCAGCCACTTCTCCTCACTATGTGAACCAAATATTGCAACCATCGACAGCCACACTTCAGATTAGGAAGGGACCCAAAGAAGTCGGTTGGCAGGTCTTCTGAACTAGTTCAACATTATTACATAAAGCCACGATGGCCGAATAATGCCGTATCTTGGTACGAACTCAACTGGAGAAAAAACATCACCAATCTGCAACGCAAGTAAGGATCCAAACAAAGCACACACCCCGTCTTCTCCCCTAGTGAGTTTAACTGGCATGTAAACGATCCCATTAATGTAGTCAATTGCAGCTTTGAAACATCATCCAACATCCCAAAAGCTTAAGAAGTAGTTCACAAAGTTCACACAGCAGTTCTTGGTACCAGTGCCAATCTGGAATCAAAACATGTATATAACCAGTTTTAATATTGAAGATCAATGCCCCAAGCATCCACAAGCCACGCGCCCTTTTGACAAAATTTTTCAGACAGGAGGCTACCACAGGCTTGATCAGGCCTACATGGCACACTCATGTCTTCCTACAATCTACCCTGGGCCTCTAGTCGGTCAGTAGTGCGGCACAAAGTACCTTTGAAATCCCTGCTGCCTTCGTTTACCCAGCTGGCAATGGAACGCAATCCTTGTGCATCTGGACTTACTGGATCACAATGGTAGTGTATACCAATTCCTTGGTGCAACGTGCCCTTGCCCAGCCCTTCTGATACGCATGTATATGCATGTATATACTGAGACAAAAGCCGAAGAGATCCGCAATGAGGCTATAACCCCACTTCCTGGCAGTGGCATGAAGGAACAGGTGCAAGACAAAAGCATGGATGGATGCTCAGGTCCAGCCTGAGAAAGGGCAATACCATTAAAATCAGTGGATTCTCTTCCCGACTGTTGGGCTGCCAATCGCTGCTTAGCACATGGATGTAGTGCCCTTCACCTGGCCAAAGCGCCAAAGGATGCAAGAGCATCTTGAAAAACTGTTTCCCATGTTGGACAGTAATGGAAGTTGTAGAAAACACATTTTTTTCCTGAGCAACCGGATTTCTGCAACTGCCACATCGCTGTGCTTCCGGACTTCAACACGCTGGAAGACAATGTACGTTGCTCGTACTCCTTCAGTTTGGAGCCGTAATGGAGCAGCACTAGTCACTAGTTCCATCCTTCATGGATTGGGTGGCATGTGGTTTACTGATCTATGTCTATGAGTACACCTTGGCCAGAAGCAGTTGTTGTACATTGTACAGTATACAAGTGACGAACAAGAGTATACGAACTGCCTGTGCCACGGTGTCCAACACCACGTCAAAGTTCTTGACGACATCTTCAAATTTTTGTTCTTTGTAGTTCACAACTTCGTCAGCACCCAAACCTCAGCTGTGATGCTCTCAAACTGGAAGCCTCTGCAAGCTCTCAAGCACAAAGTGAGAATTCTTCAAAGCAAGCAGCTTTTCACCAACACCGCTTTCGGAGCGCTCACGGTAGTTGCCACGTGCATTTTGAGCCTCCCATAGATTCAACTGTAATGTCCACTAGTGCAACGACTGCAACGATACTGCAAGTGAGTGAACACTGTGAACACGACTTAGTTTGCTGGAAAGCTTTGAGCTAAATATCGAAGTTGATTCAACGTGTGTAAGGTTGCTGTCTTGATTCGCACTCTAATCACAAAGTTACATGGCACCTGCCCAAGTGCACACAAGTCACACTTTCTGCGAGTCAAGCCAAGTGGCACATGCTTGCAGTACTGGATTGCGAAGGAACCCACTCCTCCGGCTCCTGCGTGCACAAGGATCTTTTTGTCTTTGCTGCTCTGGCCCTGCTTCTGCCATGCTCGTAGGACGGGTGCCATTGCATGAATGCTGGTCAAGCCAACCAAGGGCAACCCAGCCGCTTCTCTGGCAGAGATCTTTGTTGGCGCATGGGCAATGATAGTGTAGTTTGCCACGACATACTCCTGAAAAGCACCCCAGGACTGTCCTTGCAAAGGCAACATACCATATACAATATCGCCAGGTCTGTATCCCAGTACACCACTGCCAATCTGTTCAACATGACCTGAAAAGTCAAAGCCAGACACGACAGGCAAAGCCCTGGTCATATTGATATTGGCATTTCGGCGCATTTTGAAGTCAACTGGATTCAGGCCACCAGTTCCGACCTTGATCAAGACCTGTGTCATCTCGCAGCATTGTGGTCGAGGAATGGTGCGTGTCTTGATGACAAATGGCTCCCCAGTCTCACTAAATTGGGCTGCACGCATTGTGTGGTCTTTGTCCTCCAAAGCAGGCGCATACCTGCATGCAACACACTTAAAAACCGGCTTTGCTGCGCGGCTGCTTTTGCTTGCTGAAACATCGTGTCACAAGTGTTTCTATTCTTTTCTAAGCAGACTTACACCCAAGCGCACACCTGTTCTACCTGGGAGGAATATGGGATCCAAGACAAATCAGCTTTGAGGGACCATACAGTACTCAATGTCAGAATTGCAGGCCCGCCTGATATAGTTTTCTCGCAAGAGGTAGAATTCGTAGATCAAAACTCCCAGAACGGCTGCCAAATTGAAACACAAAACCTTTGCTATGGGCCAAAAGAGTGCCATGGCTCTAGTGAGGCTTGGCAGCTGGTTTGTCCTTTGTGTCTCCTTGGGCATTGGGTGTATCCAAAGGTAATTAAGTCCCACATCAACACGCAGCACACACATTGCAAACAGGCTAACAGGGGATGAATTGTTGTGCCGAGTTTAAAGCGTGAGTAGGCCAGGCCCAAATGAAACGCACCCACGACTTGGTGTTTTCATATGGTTTCATCAAGCACAGTAGCACTCGCTTCAGAGCGTGAAATGCAACCTTCACTTGAATCTTTGAATAAAGCGCCGGAGAGTTCACAGACAGTTGACCATTGCAAGCATATGTCAGTCGCCAGCAATTATGTAAGTGTTTAGAATCACAACCTCATGTGATGTCAGACTCTGCGGACACTCATTTAGGGACAAACGGTGAAGAAGGCGACCTATCTGCTTCCCAAAAGGGAAGGCCTGCAAAAGGGCAAAAGGGTAAAATATGGTAATGGTAAAGCTATCATTATTCAAGTTCCTCAAATGCACTGAAGACCAATGCCAACATGAGCAAAGAATAACTGACCTTCTGCTCCCTCGCTCAAATCTTCGTCTGCGGCATCCTACAGTATTCAATCACAAAGCTCGATGAGGTCCAAGGTCCATGCCATGGACTGCATTCACGCCAGTTCGGGCATGAGATGTCTGGCTCAAGGTTCCAACCTCGTCTTCATCATCCTTCTCTTCAACGGCAGAGCTTGTTCGATTCACCTTCCCATTGAACAGTACTTAAACAAACATATAACAAGATATAATTCAATGGCTTGTCAAACGGCATGAGCAGAATTCGTAGCTCATCGTGGCTCCTCCACGCCATCTGAACCACTGTCCAAGAGCTCAGGCAAATCCACGCCGACCTGGCTGTTCCCATACAAGCCTGGGTTGTACATCCCAATTTAACATAATTTAACAATTTCCCTTTCTAGCTTCACTTTTCTCCATTCTAGCCAGCACACCAATTTGGAGCACTGTGCGGAGTTGACTTGAGAAGGGCTTTGTGCAGAGCCTTTTTGAAGATTTCCTCTTAGTCGGGCCCATCTTTGAATGCTGATCCCTCGTGAATGTTTGAACCCACAGGACCAATCTAGCCATCAGGGATGCCTGCGCGCTCCGATGTCTTCTCTTCTTTGAGTGGGAAGAAGACGTGATACCCCAACGGAGGAAAACAAACAAACATCACGCCATCATCCAAATCACCACTACTGTAAACACCAATCTGTGTAGCAACTCCTGGCCCACTGGCCTCCGTGGGAGTTTCAGATGGTGGTCGTGTAGACGTCTCCGCCTTGCACTTCGACAGCAACATGTGCAGTGCAAAGATCGTTTGAATGACAGGCATCTTGCCTGCTCCGGCATTTTGGCACAGCCTTCAAAATCCCACATCTTACTTGCTCTCACTTTAAGCAATTGAACAACACAACACATAGCAAACATATGCAAACATCAAATTTTGCTGTTCCGCCTGGATCTGCACAGGTCATCTCTGAGGTCATCCTGTGTTAAATTTGAAGCAGTAGTCAAATGTGCGTGAGAATGAGATACGGATAGAGAATATCCTAGAATTGTTAGGTGCAAGGTCAGGAGGCTCCTTTGGCTAGCTGTCGAAGACAGCAACCATCATTTTGCCTTGCAAATATTCACTCTCTCAACTTGCCACAACTTTTTGTGGAAGGCAGGGAAGACTTGGACACCTCGTGGCTCAATGGCTGGGAAGGACGTGAAGCTCAAACCAGTTGACCCGTTTGAAAGAAAATTGCATAGCGGTAGCGGCATGATGCGGCATGAATCTCATGCATGGCCCAAGCGACATTCATGACAACCAAAAGGCTGTTCCATGGCTTCTTTCATGTGGCTTATCATCTGTACGCACAAGGCCAGTACCAGTACAGTAAATATTGCGAAAAAGCGTACACTTTGGCCCTCAAAGAAACAAAACCCCTGGTGAACGTGTCAGAAGTTCAACGTCTAAGTAAGAGTCTGAGAAACTCATTTTTTGCCGGATGTCACCTTGCTGGTTGGGTGAAGCAGCTCAAACCCTCACACGCTATCTACCTTCACATGTCGGCAGCCCCTTCTGAACTGGACACGACTGCAAGTTCTAGGGACTGCTATCAAATAGGAAAGAGGGTACTGCGTTGCTGTCAGAATCTTCATCCAGCTCAGGTGTGTCGGCCCGGTCTGGCTCCTGACGTGGCTCTTCTGGTATCAGCTCATCCTGTTCGTCCTCGTTCGGACTTGTATCTGCCTCTGAAGGACTTGAACTGGCTTCTACTCCGTCCGCTCCTTCTTCTTGCGCTCCCTTGTTCATCTTGTCCTTGCCAGCTCCTTTTGCTTTCTCTCTCGACTCAGGACGCCTTGATGAAGGGTGGCTGAAAACACGATTCTGGTTTCCTCTCCAGTCAGTATCAGCTTCTCTACTTGGCGGCTTCTGCAACCGGCCCAGGGCAATCATCTTTGCAGTTGGAGGCGGCGTGCGAGCTCTGTACTGTCGAGTTGGGTGACCTTTGCCTCTACCTTTGCCTTTTCGCATGCGATACTCTTCGTCTAAAGCCTCAGCTGTAGAATTGCACTTCGCAGCAGCAAAAAATGCACAACATTGCAACATGATCTGCTTGCCTCAAAAGATTGTGTCAGCGCACCATGCTCCTGCGACGTTTTGCTTCAATTCAAACTAGAAACCATTCTGGCACCATATCATGTCCTGCTGCATTTCTTCATAGACCTTGCAAAAGTCAAAAGGAATCGTGATTGATTAGAAAAAACATGAATTGGCCACTGGCCATGGCACGCCTGGCGGTAGTCCAGGTGCGCTTGAATCAGCAGCTCAGCAGACTCAAGCTGCTCGCTGAGGCCAATGACCTCCAAAGCCTCCGATTCCGGTGCATGACGAAACACGAATCAAACCTGCTCAGCTGCACAACGTATTTGCAAACTGTATCACACTGTATTCGTTCCGCCACAAGCTCGTTGGAAGGTTTGCGAGAACATGTGGCCGCCGTGATCGTGCAAACTCTGGTAATGGTACAATGGAGGGACAGATTCAAACCACGACCAGCTCTGTTTCTTCTTTCTGGAACACTCGTGGGGTGAATGGGTCTACACGATGGAAGCGTTCTCAACCATCGGCTGGAAATGTGGAAGGCAAAGAGTGTGGGAAGGGAGGTTCAAACACAATCAACGCATGCATAATGCATTGGAGGAAAGTCAGCTTGAACATCCTGTGGACTACTGCTGGTCAGAACGCACTGTTACTTGTTGCAGTTGAACACATTCACAACTAGTCTCACAAAGACCTATCACAATAGTGGCATGTTGCAATGACATGCCTGAAGGTATGCGCTCCCTGCAAAAGAGGATTTGGATGGATTTGGGCTCATATCTTGGAGTGCAGGATTTCTTCGGTTGAAGTTGATGCCGTTGATAAATAAAGACACATAAACGCCGTGATGGGTCGAGACCTTCCAGCGATGCAGCTGTTAACAGCTGAACTTCGACGTGTCACTACGATGGTTGCTGCCTGCACCGTTCATCCACTTGTGTGAATGGATCGCACGCCTTTCTATTCTGTAGTTTTGTGGAGTCACTCGGGCCATCTCGGGCCACTATTCCTGTCTTGTCTGCCCACCTGTGCACTCTCTCTCGCGCCTGATTTCTGCAAGAATTTGTGGAACTGAAGCAAGAGGCTTCATCTCTCATGCCGTGCAGTGGCTCATTGGCTTAAGCCACATTGTTAACGCTTATTAGCAGCCTGCGGATTACCCATGGTCTCGGAGTCAGATGTGGGCGAACTCCTGCATCTGCATATGCACACAGTTGCCGCAACTGTCGGCTTGACCCTGCCGCACTGCTCTAGAAACCCGCAATAGGATGCATCGAAGACGAAGTCAAGCCTGCGAGTAAGGATCAAAGCGAGCGCTGAGCAAGCCAACCTGCTCAGGGTCACCAGGGAACACAAATGGACATGAAGAGTTGTTGGGTGATGAGATATACAAGTTTTTGTAAGCTCATTTGCAAGTTTGATCAAAATGCATCGACCCCACGGATATTAACGCTTGAGTCGTCTATCATAATTGAAAGGGCATGATGCCAATTTGCCAATGTGTATCAAATCAACATTAACCAAGCAATTGGGGGTTGAATGGCCAGTTGTCCAGCTTTCTCAGTTGTCCTAAAACCTAAAATAATCTAAACTAGTTAATTATTGAAGAGCCCATCGGCTGAAATTGCCCTGGTTCTTGATTCGACGTGAACCCTCCTTTTCTACAACTGTTCCAGTCCCGATGCGCAGCCGCTCTCTTTTTGACAGCGAAAGCAATTTTGAAGCTTGGTCAGCGCTCTGCCTGCCCAAAAAAGTGGTCAAATTGTCCACCAAAAGATTGTGATCACAGTGAGTGATCACCCTTCTGGGTACTGAAGCACAAACCAATCGCATGATGTTGAATGTGTGTAGATCGTGGTGCTGTGGGCTGCGACGCGACGTGCTATGCACGAACCTGGCTCAAAGGATCTCAAAGGCATGTCTTCACAATTCCATTCTACTGTGATAGCCGTGAGTCTTTACTACCAAGCAGAATCCATTCTTTACATTATGCCAGATGTCCAATTGCGTGCAACACGGTCTCCTCCTCAAGCTCCTGGCGCTGCTTATCTGCCTCTCCGCGCAAGCGAGCTGTTTCTGACTCTGACAGGAAGTCTGCTCAGAAGCCTCACGCTCTCGAGCATCTGCTGCTGCGGCTAACTCGTCCACTTTCAGAATCTTGGCCTTTCAGGGAGCGCAAGCTGAGAGCAAAGTCTCCCAATAAGCGCAAGGCGCAAAACACCAGTCAGACTTGACAGTCAAGACTCTCAAGCTCAATTAGTCTCAATGGCCGGATTTCACAGCAACCTTCCAGGTTCTGAATGCACTCAAACATTTTATACAACATGTGCTTCAAACACCGACCGGAGATTGTCTCTTGCCTGCGACTCTGCTCTGGCCTAAGCTCGAAGAAACTGAGGTGCGGAGTTTCTTAACTGTTCTGACGCTCCGGCTTTCATCTCTTCCCTCTCCAACTCCTGAGTATGTTAGAGGATTCTTCCCAATCCCTGCAACTGATGCAAGTGGTTCGAATAATTATTGCAAGGTCCTGTCCTGCTTTTGAATTCGAGCCTTTTCACGGTCTCTTCTTTCAAATTCCTCCTGAGTTGCCTGCCATGATGGCTCCAGGGAAAATGCACAACGCAAGCAAAGCAAGTTCAAGGCAATGTGGCCACGTCATGTTTCATTACTTGTTCAGAGCTTTGCATCCCATCAACCGTTCTCTTGAATCCCCGCTCTGCTCACTGCGCTACGTCTCCCGTGCCTTCTCACCCAATCTAAAAAGCCACTCTTGCTCTTCAGGCCATTCCTATCAGACTCCCACAGCATACCGGCTGTTAGATAATATCTGGCTTGCTCTGTCCTGCTTGAAGTCCCGCAAAGCACAAGCTGTTTCTTCGGAAATAAATGCATTCCTTCTCGCAGCGCTTGCCGGAACACTGGGCATGCGGAGTCACCAATTATTCTCTGTTCCCAGTTTGTTTATGTTGCGGCAAAAAGTGAAGTATTGCAACTAGTTACTCCACATTTGTAGCTAGGTACTAGGTACTATCTTTCATCATAAATATGGAGCCGTTTCTTGGTGTTTGATTCAGAACAAAAATGAGAACAACATGTCAGCGCACACCGGTCCAAATATCAACGCAGTTCACGAAAGAGACCGGCCTTGCTTCTCAAGTCTTCATGCATGCAAGCTGGGAAGCTGCTCAAACTCCAACCATCTACTGTATCCATGCATCATGCATCCTCTTCCTTAGCCTGTTGAAATACGCGTACTCCGATACTAGGGCCAGGGCTTGCAAAATAGCTTGACCTGGGTCATCTGGGAAGAATTATATATAATATATATAAGAATTGACACAAGCCAAGTCTCTATTTAGTTTGTTCTTGTACTGATGCACAAAACTGCGGCTATGAGTGTCCAATCCAAGTGGCTTGAACCGCCGAGTTGAGATTGAAGTTCTGAGGCATATTCTCTGGCAGTGCCTTAGTAATTTCTTCTTCTAATCATGTCTCTTGAACCCCAGCCAGCCTGCAAACTAGCTGCCGCTAAGAGGCGCAAAGAGGTAGCTTATGATCAGCAAACCAAGTCTCCCACGTCCAGGGTTTGACCTTGGGTTTCCAGAACGTGAGCCAATTTTTATCAAATGTTGGTGATGAAAAAGGCCAATCACCTTCCGAGTTCTGGGCTGCACCGTTGAAATGCAACATCTTACCCTTATCCGAGCACATCCTGAGCTGCTGATTTATGAACATTGCTACGTATCAGTTCAGAGGCCAGTTCAGCACATATTGCAACTACTTGTACAGATATAGTATTGGTTACTATATAATGCTACAAACATCCCTGGACTGTTTGGATGCAGGAGGAACATATATAGCCTCTAGTTAGCAAGTCTGAGGGCCAATCACTACGAAGGGGTCCACGCCCCCCGTCTTCAGTGAACACAGCACCGAGTTTGCGCACTGCCTGACAACTGCATGTTTTACCACCTCTGAAGAAGTGCACAATGTCTAGTCTATCTGGTCTTCAGGGAATCTTCACCAAACATTGAACAACCACTATTTGCAGGTGCGCGCCGCATGGTCGAAGCCATTATCCCGTAAAAATAAGGCCTTCAAAATCTGCAAAGAGACATACAGCCATTTCCTTTCGCCACTGTGCTTGTGACTTTTGGCCTCCGCATAAGGCATTTTCTCACGGCCCAAAGAGTTGCAGTTCCACCTGAGTGGGAATCGAGAGTCAATGGTCAAAGAAATGCAGAAGGCACACACACACACTCACAGGGCTAAGCGGCTCATCACCTAGGTCCAGAAAATCATCTCCCATTGCAAGGAGCCATGGTGGCTGCGACCTCACAGTTGCCAAGCTTAGCTGAACTCTGCCTTCAGCACCTTCAGCCAAAGCTGAGATCCAAACACCCCGCTCTTCCACAGAACTCTCTTTGATTCTGCATATCTCTGCATCCTGTGCATTAAATTGAATACTTTTCGATCTTTTCGAGGACTAGTGGAGGACTACAATGAAAGAGCTACGCTCTGACTCACTAACATGAAAGTTGAAAATGGTCCCTTGGACAACTCCTTTCCTTTACAAACAGGGTTTTTCCCACTTCCATGTCAGTGAGTCGGAGTGTAATTATTCGTTCTGACCTGTTTCGGCTCTAGTGTTGCACAGTCCTCATCTGCGACTTAATTCTTACAATTTTGACTTATTGCAGTTTGCTTCGGTTCAAGCATCAAGTTCACTTCAGTTGACTGTGGACTGATCTGCACCCAGGCGCACCACATCTCGATTTGCTCTGTGATCTGGAGCTCATGCCATCTTCGGACGTCGATGACGAGCAACCCTCTGTTGGCAATGCAGGCCTCCAGAAGGTAATAAAGTGATACTGCAGGGATTCAAGTGATATGAAGCTCCTGGACCTTCCTGAATGTTTAAGAAGTGCAGCAATGCACAAATATCCACAGACTCACTTGAGTATTACCCGACACAAATGACTGATAATGACACAGTAAGCAAATCAGTGGCCATGTCGATGAATCAAACTCCTTGACAACGGGCACCCGACAGGTACTCTTTGATCTCCAAAGTTACAAGTAGACTCAACAACCACCAGCCTTCGGGTCGTGATTTTGAATGTATCCAAGCTCTCCTCAACCATTGGAAATTCAACGCACCAGGCGACTTCCGAAGCACAAACAACTAGCTAGATACATATATAAGTCCCATGACTCCATGACTGTCAATCTAAAGTTTGACCCTGCCTCACTCACTTAAAACAAATGTATAGTCTAGTCTAATTATAGAAAATCACCATGGCAACGCTGTTTCCAAGAAGTCACCCCCCAGTCACCCCCACTAATCCCATTGGAACGCTGATGCCCAAACAAGATCTTTCACACAAAAAAGCAGACCTAAAGAGTGCAAAAACCAATGGAACGCTAGTTCTAAAAGAGTTGATTTAATTTGATTTACATCTGCTTGCAGCATGTCAATCCCAATGGAATGCTGTAATTAGAAGTTCACCAACTTTAGTCACATCAGGTGACTCGAAAAGAACTAATCTGCAAGTAGTGGCCTGATGTGATCGGGTCACATCAGGGTCACATCAGATCCCTGTTTACAAGGCGTTTGCGGATTTTCTACCGATTGAAAGCTAAGTTAGGGTTTTGTATCAAATAACTTCCAATATCTTCCAATTATATACACTGTGCAAGCAGCCAAGCAGTACCAGCAGCAGCTAGTGTTTTGCATGTGTTGACTAAGACTGCACAGACCTGACATCATCCCCAGATCCCTTTCCAACCAACAGAGTTAGCTTGTGTTTGTGTTTGGGAAAAAGGGACGACTTTCCGCAAAGCCTTCCCCCCAAGGCAGGGTAGCAATACCTCAAAAAAAGTGACGACGTTGTCTTTTGAATGTACCGTCTAAACCTGGAAACAGAAACATTGAACATGCAACAGAATCAAACTCAAACGCAACAGGGTTTCATCCCAGGACTGACACCATTACCCTGTGAATAGCACACACCTCAGAAGGTGAATATGAAAGCCAGCTGGTGGATGAGCAAATATCGAAGAACACGAAGGTGCGATATGTAGATTGCGGGCGCTCAGGTTAATCAGGTAGTCGAGGTAGTTGATAGCAACAAGAAGCTACTAGGGGCCAGGACGCTACTAGGAGCAAAGGGCATCGCTACTAGGAGCAAAGGACTCTGTGTGGTGTTTGGGCCTGTACTGTACTGCAATCAAAACGGAGCTGTGCAAAGTGTGAACGGAAAACAAACACGTTTGTTTTGACTTCAGGGTTTGCTTCCAACCTATCCAATCCTCACCTTGTTCCACCCC